CATGTACTTCCAAACTTTTAATTCTTACCATCCACTCAGGACATATTTGTTGTCATGTGTTTGAAAGACAGAAAATACTTTGTAGCTTTTGTCTCCTCATATACTTGCAGGTCTGTGCTCCAAACCACAACCTGTGCTGCAAAGAAAGGATATAAGCAAATGGAAATAACTGCCACTTGCTCAGATTCTTGTTTTCTCCTTTGCTCCTTCCCTGCAGCAATAATCTCAGCAAAAATAACCTCTGGCAAGTCATTCTGCATGTATAACCTCCAGCTGCCACTTCAGACTTACAGACTTTTGGAAGTCAAAACCCTGAATGTAGCTTAATAGTTTTTACTGTCACCTCAACAGAAATCTAGAGCCAAGTCTCCAGTGCACCCTACACCACCTGCACGAGCCCATTCGTTCCCTTGGACTGGGAAATAGAAAGTATTTCATGGAATCACGGAATTATTAGGGTTGGAAGGGACCTCTGGTCCAACCTCCCCAGCAAGGCGGGGTCACCTAGAGCAGGTGACGCTGGAACATGTCCAGGTGGGTGGATTTTGAAAGTCTCCAGAGAGGGAGACTCAACGACCTCCCTGGGCAGCCTGTTCCAGTGCTCTGCCACCCTCAAACGTAAAGAAGTTCTTCCTCATATTGATGTGAAACTTCTTGTGTTTTAGTTTATGGCCACTGCTCCTTGTCCTGTTGCTGGGCACCACCAAAAAGAGTCTGGCACCATCACCTTGACACCCACCTTTGAGATATTTATATGCATTAATGAGATCCCCTCTCAGTCTTCTCTAGACCAAGTAAGTCCAACTCCCGAAATCTGTCCGCATAAGAGAGATTAAATGCTTTTCCTAAGGTTCTTCAAGCAGCATGTCTCAGAGTAGGGACCAGACAGTCTGCCATACAGAAGCAGTGCTCAGCTCCAGGCTGAGCTTTGCTGGAGCCAATGGCACAGACTGAGGCGCCCTCTCTGGTCTAGGGCCCAGCTCCCCATGGCACCCTGTGATGTAATGAAATGTAGGAGGCAAAGGGAACTCGATCATGCTCCCTGGGTCTCCCCAAGAAGGGGTTCCATAGACCACTGGTGGGGAATACACTGGGAGAAATGTCTCCCTTCTCCCACATTGACACTCGCCCTCAGTCGTCTTCTCATTTCTGCCACTGGGACAGAAGTTCTCCCTATCCTCCTCTGACCTGAGCAGCACTTTCCTTGTAAAACCCCTCACTGGTTTAAGATCTCTGGCAGAAAGTGCTCATGTGCACATTTGTCCCTGGCTGCATCTCCCTCTAGGCAATGGAAAGAGGAAGACACTTCAGGAATTAATAAGTCTAAATCACTTTACTCCAAGAGACACCCCTGTGCAGAGGGCATCTCTTCCTTTCTGCCCCTTCTAAACATGATTTTCAGGTTCCTGTATAGCCTTTGGGGCTTACTTGGCACGGGGGGTAGAATGGTGGCGATGGGAATGTAGAGCCATATGAAGACTTATCACACTTGTCCCCAGGCTCCCTTCTTTGAATATACCACAAATGTTTTACTTCAATTCTCAAAAGCCTGATGAGATGCAGGTTATTAATTCATGACTATGACAAGATTATTATGGTTAATTTAACATGTGCAGGCACTTAACTAACTACTGTTGGGAAATATTTGTCATTAATTCAAAAATGTCCTGCCTGTAATTTGGCAGATATAGTGCAAGAGTGCAGCAGAAATCCAGCATGACATAAAGAGCACTCATCTGCCATCACCTTTACTTGTGCCTGTACAATGCCTGATTTAAATGAGCACAACAAAACAGTACTGCAGCATTCACAGATTAAATGGCATTGGCATTCAAACACTAGAAGGAGCCCAGACGTAGGAAGTGGAACAGAGAAGCACATAATCTCCCCACGGGGAGTGAAAGGGACACCACAGGGAGAGAGGGTAGCAGAGCACTATTCCTAATCAAAGCTCAGAAAGCAAAGCTATGCAAACAAAAGCTGCTTGCGTGGGCTTTCCTCCCACCTCCTGTGGGTCTGCCTTGATTCCTACCAAGGCAGATGATACAGAGTAAAACCAGTGAAGAGGTTTCATTTAGGAGCAACCTTGTCTCTCAGGCCTGGCACAGACCTCCGGGTCATCCCACCACTCTTGGGGAGGGAACTCCCTGCTTCAAACTGCTGTGCTTTGCTTGCTTTCCCAGGTAGGCAGGTGAAAAACCTGTGTGCACAGAACTAATTACAGCAACAAATTAAAACTCATGTCCAAAGTGACCAATCTCACGGCACCTTTGAAGTGTCCCAGCATTTCTCGGCCTTTTCTGATCCCTTGGGCAGGTCCAAAGGCAGTGATGAATTATTTTGCCCACAAAGGCTCTTTACCTCTGTGTTTTTGCAAGATCTATCACTATCATATGCATCCCACCTATCAGCCCCTTCCTAGTGCAGGGACTCCATGCATGGCCTGGACTTTTTCAGTTCTCTCATATGGTAAACTCTCCTGACGAGCAGCATATTTTGGTGCACTTATATCTTTGAGCTTCATATAGGTGTTTCAGGATAAAATTTGGGAACAGAGCATTGAATCCTCCGTTGTTGCTGGCAAACACTCCATATAATCCCTTCACAGGCTGATTAAAGTCTGATTTTGAAAATTATTCAAATTCAAATGCTATTCAAGAACTTTGTAACTCTTATGTGTTAGAAATTCCCAGACTAAGTGACCAGTCTATACCTGTTTATTTTTGTGTCAATGCAATACTTTCTTTGAAACAGCTTTTCTGTTCTGCCACAGGTATTTAGAGAAGATGGCCATCTCCCCTTTCAGCCTTGATCTGCAAAGCCAAACAAGCCATGGCACCTTAATTTCCTCACAGAGATAAGCTCTCTATTACCCTGGCCATCTTACTTATCCATCTTTGCACCCATCCTACTCTGAGCTCATCTCTTCTGCAAGTCAGATGTCCAGAACTGGACACTGGATCCCAGGCAGCCTCAATAGCTAGATGACACAAAAGTCACTCTTGGATTTAAGCTCCCTAGCTCCTAGTTAAGCTTGCATATGTTGGCAGACAAACACAGAGGAAAGTATTTACCTGCTTCCTCTAGTCTGCTCTCTACTGCAGAGTCCAAGGACATGTTTGAGCTATTTATTATCAAGAAATGCTGTTCAATGTAAAGACAATGTTCCAATAACCTCCCCAGACTTGGCTCTTTTCTGTGTCCAAGTACCCAGATGCTGATGCTGGCTGCAAATACTAGACTACAGGACCCATTCCAGCTTCTTTTCAAATCCCAAAGTGCCAGCATACGCTCCTTTGGCTGGATTTGCAAGGGCCCAGCCATCTGTGTATCTGCAGAGTGTCTCTGATGTAGGTATAACATGAAAATATTTAGCCTTTCACATGCAGTTGGCAAATGCACTAGCTCAGGCTTGAGGAAATTCTGACCTTCTTTGCTTAGGGGCCTCCTTCCTTTCAGTACTTTTAAAAATATTTGTGAGTAACAGCAAGAGGTAGGGAATGATATGTCTAACAGAGCTCCCAGCTCTGTCAGAAAAGCATTATTAAGAGGACACTATCAGGCTTTGTGAAAAGAGGAAAGATCAGGAACTGCTGGGTGACTTAATCTCTTGTGTCCCACCTATCCTATAAAGGTGCTGTTTTACTAAAACAGCTAGATCAAAGCTCCTAAAGAGGTTTCTGCTGTTAACTGTCTCCTGAAAGCTGTTGACCTTGAGACTGGAACAATTAAATGAAATGTGAAGCACCTCCTCAAACAGATATTTTTCCTTCTCTGTCCTACATCACCTAACCACACAGTAGTATGAAGTTACACACTTGGGAGAGCTTTTTGTAATAAAGAACATCCTGAACTGCATGAAGATACTGCCCTGATACATATTTTTTCTCTCGTCTTAAGTGGACACATACCCTGTAAGTCCTAGGAATGAATGTATGAGCTCTCCCATAAGTATCTCCCATACGTATGATAGAGACAAAAACCAGATTGGACTGGCACACTTTGAAAAGCAGCTGCTGTATCAGGTATGCAATGTGAGACTCTTGGAATTGTTTTTCTGAATACTAAATGTGGAAAATATCAATTGAAACTGCACTTAGTCCCTCTGAAGAAATCAGCTTCTGAATGCCTTCAAGTCAGTACTCAAATTAAACAGCTTCATATTAGAGATAATTAAAATATATTGCTTAAAAATAATCTGATCTTTTATGTCCCTGTTCAGAATCCACCACTACAAACTCCTGTGCAAAAAACTTGTAAGCATGCTTGCAGTGTACATGTCCTAGAGATGTGCAGCCAGATCTTTGGCTGATGTCACTTGGCAGGCCTTTGCTCCAGTTAACTGGAGCTGTACCAAATCATATCGCTGAAGAGCTGGAACATACTGCTTATAAACTTCTGAAAAAGGCAAGTTAAATAGCTTGTATGCACCTGGAGAGATTAATTTCCATGTTTTTCAAAATATGAAAACTGTATTTTCTTTGAGGAGTGGTCCTTCACAAAACTATTATGCCAGCCCTGTGCCAGCACTAGATACGAATATACTCTGGTTTAATTCCCACCACCTCTGCTACCTGTGAGTAGAGAAGATACGGCACAAGGAAGACAATTTTTTTTTTTGTAAGTATTTTTCTTAGAATGGCATATCACTTTAATTTTTACATTTGACAAAGGGCTTCTACTTGTAATCTATCAGAAGAAAACAAAAAGCAGAAACAAATCCCACTGTGTTACCAGCCAGAGGCAATGACTGCCGGCCTCTGCAAACAGTACATAGTTAGAGGAACTTGCTGTGTTCCATTTTGTAAACGTGGTACAAGGAGTGAGTTGCAGCGAGAGCACATCAACCAGTAACTCTTGATCACTTAAAGATTTTTCATTAGCCAGTTCTACAATAAATTAACTAGAGAAGTGTAAAGGTTGTTTTCAACAATTTATAAACACCCACCACAAGGAACTAGAGAAGACAGTTCATCTTTTCACTTAACTTTTTTACTTACCCTCCGATGAAACTTTAATAAGTACAAAGGCTGGTCAATACTCCCAGAACTGAATGCTGTGCACCTGTGTAACCAAGAAACACATTTCATCTGTCAGAAAACAACTTTTAAAACACTTCAGACATAAACTTCCTTCAGCTGCTTACCTGTGTAGGTTCCTGTTTGCCAGATTCAATGTACCACAAAAGGCTACTGGTGTTTCAAAAGGGATCTGTCACCTTGCCAAACATTTAAGTGGTAGCAACCCAGCAGAGGTACTTTCAAATTTCCCCAGAGAATTCTGAAAGTCTTGATTTGGTTTGACTTCGATAGTGCACCCTATGTCTCATCAGTTATCCAGCACGGGGCTACTATCTGCCTTCCCAAAGCACGAGTTATTAGCACTGCCCTGATCCTTTCACCAAGTGATCCCTGTATCTAACGCGGAAGGAGTCGGTCAGAGGAGAAAGCACCAGTATCCCCCAGTTGCTAGGTAACAAGCAGGGAGATCCTGACCTGAATTCTTAGTGGAGGCTGATGTTGCTCAGGAAGCTTAGCTGGGTCCCTCCTGGAAAGGGAGGGCCATGCCAAAAAGTTCCTCCTGGCTTTGCAAAGGCCATGGCGTAACATCACGCAGGACAAAGGGACAGCAGCTGAGCTATTTTTATGACAAAAAGGCACCTGTTCTGAAAATAGGAACACATGCAAAAATGGAGGGTGAATTTTTTGCTCCTTGTGCCAATGAAACTAGAGTGTTTTTAACATTAAAATGATATCATTCTATTTCAAATGTGGACATTAGATAAAGTGGAAGAAGCCACCCATCATGTGCACAGCCTCAACATTAACAAATGCAACGACAGAATATTAAGCATATGAAAGTAAAAAAATACAGGTTATCTCAGACATGTATGCTATGAATCATAACATAGAAAATTGAAGAGAAGCAAATCAGGAAGTTAGTGATGACAGAAGAACTCTGCATTTTCTGTCCGTGTAAATATTTTGAGTTACTGCCATGGCACTGTATTAATTACTCTATTTACCTTGCAAACTCCTTAGGATGTATTTTCAAAAAGAAAAAAAGTGAGGGCTGAGCTAGACCTGAAGTGCCTCTGGGTCCCTTGAATGGGGTATACCTGACCCTAGTCAACCTGTATAGTGAGTGGAAAGGAAATAATGCCTCCTCATATGCAGCATAATACAAATGTTGAAGACCCAATTATCTGGAAAAAATGCCTGTTTGCTTTCTACTGACTCCAAGGAACATCTTGGTAAATGAAAGCAATGCTGTGACCACCACGTGTGGCATGGCTCCCACAGGCTGGAGGGGCCTGTGAGGCCAGGAGGGCTGAGGGGTATCGGTGCAGAAACAAATCTTTTCACTCCAGCTGGCTGCTTCGCATCTGGGCACATTCTCACGTGTGGGCAGGTCCCTCCTTGCTCCAGTAGGTTCTGCCAGTCCCAAACAGGAATATCTATGAGGACGTGCAGCTCAGCCAGGGCAGTAGCTCCTCTATCACCTTTGTAGGGCACACTCTCTGCAGGAGAGATTTGCAGTGGGTATACCTGCCACGCAGCAACCACATGGGCAAAAGCTCTTTTAAAGAGGGGTCTCAGGCATAGGAAGACTGGCCTGTCATGTCTTGAGAAGTGCAGCTATGACCTTAAAAGGGAATTACTCCACAATAACCTTTTATCTGGTAGAAACAAAGCAATGCTTTAATGGAAAGGAAATGCACACAAGCGTCTTTGCAGAATGCCAGCCCAGCTCAGCTATACAATGGCACATCTAATGCTTACTCCTAATGCACGTAGTGTGGCCCCAAAAAAGACTGTCCTTTGATATAGCCAGGTTCAGTGTGTTCAGCACAGGCTCCTGGTCAGAAAGCAGTCTCTTAGCTATGCTTGAAATCTCTCCCTCCCCCATAAATGTCCATATTTACCCAGGGAATCAGTCTATCCCTGCAGCAATTATAACTGTCCAAAAGCAGATGAGTATTAAGGTGCTCCAAGTACCTTTCTGAACAAGTGCCAAAACCCATCACATTAATAGGAAAATTATAGTTCTTTTGTTCATTTCCCTTCTCTCATTTTATTGCAGAAACAGGAGGAGCTCAGTGTTAAGTCCTATCCCAAAAGCACTTAAATTGTCAGACAAAATAGTTACGGATGTCATGACCTGAATTCAGCAAAGCTGAATTAATTCAGGCTTTAAATAGAGTCACAATAAAAAAACCCCCCAAAAACGTATAGATAACCAAGAGACATTGGGAGGAAACAAACTGAAATTTTAAGATGTTAAATATATACTCAGGTGCTAAAGAAAAGCTGATCATGTAACAACACTGAGCGCAAATTGGACATCACAGCTCTGTGCAGTGTAACTGATTTTTAAGTAGTCCAGATATCCTGAAACAATTTTCTGATGAAAGGCCATCTTACAGATATCATCACCAGAAGGCAAAACAATGCAGAGAATCTGCTCATAGAAATATTTGTATTTTAGATAGCACTAGATTAATTTTTTTACTATAGATTCTGCTTTTTGGTGCATCTTTTCCTACAAATTCTTCCAAATGGTCCTAATGTACAGCAGTGCAACAAGCTGACACTAAATAGTAGAAATTAGAGAAAACAGAGGAAGCTTGGCAAAATGAAAGGTGCAGCCAATATAAGCTTTTAATAACAAGGTCCTTAATAGAGACAAAAAGAAATTAAAAGACTCAAGTATGGTAGATTTGAGAAGAAATGGAGAATTGCTGAGCCCAAGAGAGAGGAAGACGGAAAACCTCTCAGGGGCAAGAACTTAGATGTGAAAGGGGAGAAGGAAGATGAGAAAAATACTTCAGATTTTTCTGAACACAGACTGAAGGGCAATTGTGAAGACCGGAAAGAGAGCCATGGGAGATGCTTCAGGTAGGTGCCAGAATCCAGTGATCTCCTGGCCACAGATGAGCAAATGGCTTAGTCAGTGATTTGTCATTGACACTCTTGGCAAAGCTACCGTAGGGCCATTGATTTAAACTTCTGTGCAGAAAAGCGAGTGCGAATGGTACATAGATCAGAGTGATAGACAATTAAACAATGAGAACTGCAACACAATAAAGCAGTTTTATATAAAAGTTAAAAAAAGGATGTAGATGGTGACAGCTGTTGGAAATGCCTTCTCCAGGGAGAGCCCAAACTGGGCACCTTTCCACTCTCTGAACATTTCCTCTGATCATGTCTTGATCAGCAAAAATGGGTAAGTAGTAAAATGGATCAGGGTGGGGTACAGAAAATCCATTCCATGGTGTTAAAAATAATCTGTCACATCTTCCTGTTGTCTAAACTGGCATAACTCCATTGGCTTCATATGATGCCAGCTTAAGATCTGGTCAAATGCAATGAGTAAGAGGAAGCTGGCAGTGCCCCTTACATGTTTCCCTTTGCCCACAGGCAGGTTTCAGCAAAGTGTGTCTATTCCAGGGGAAGATACTTAATAAAGGATTTAATCTTCCTGATGAATACGAAGGATGCCAGAGTACCAAACCTGTCAAACACACCTTGCAACAAAACACATTTTTAAAAATTTGCTTTATTCAGCTCTATTTTGTAAAGTCATGCAAAACGGAGAATTCTAAATTGCCTGACTTCAACCACTGGAAGTCAAACGCTCCTGTACAAATCTCACTGCAGAAGTGCAGTATCACAGTAACTGAGATCTTACATAATCCGGTCACATCTCCACACACATCAGGAACACAGTGCCGAGAAGTCTCCCGGTTGTTCAGCCACAGAAGGAGCTGCGTGAAGCACTGATTCACGCTGATGAATTGTAACCAAGCAACACTGCCAGCATCTCTCCAGCCCATTGTTCAACTGAGCTGAGGAGAACAGCAGCAGAACAGCACTGAAAATCTGCCAAACTTCGACTTCAATTAAAGAATACCATCCCTCTAACACTAGATATAGTAAATTCTTTAACCAAACTTTAACAGAAATAAACTGTTACTTCTCTCTCAGTAAAAAGATTGTGTCATGCCTGAAGGCAGCAAATTAATTTCTGCGCATCCATGACCTCTTGTAAATCATCTTTACAAAAGAAACCGTTCAAATTCACTTTACACAGAAAATGAAGGGCAATGAATTATTCATCTGAGCAGAGGGACAGAAATACTGCCTTTTTTTGGTTTGGCTATTGGATGCTGAGGGAAACTAAAGACAACTTTCTCAGATACAGTAACTAATCAGCAGCAACACAGACGAGGTGGAAAGGAAGTAGATACTTGAAAATTTTGTTCACTGAGAGTTAGCAACTTTTTTCCACATAAGCATCGGAAACCAACAGTTAATGCACGTAATACAGCTACTACATCATTGATATGAACCTTATTATCAACAGAGGCATTAAAAAATTAGGTTGCAATACTGACATTTTTTTCTTTTATTGCAGTTAAGTCTGAGGGGTTGGATTATTGTCGTGTTTAATGCCACCAGCCTCGATATCAAGAACAAAATTCACTGTAAAATTATCCATTCTTGCTCTTCATGGAAATAAGAAGACAACACAGTCTGCCAACAAGAGAATTTAAATTTTTTAGATATCCCACAGTATCCTCATTTCACCAGAAAAAAAAATCACATGCATAAATTAAGAATAAGATACAGAATTGACTTGTTCTTTATAACGCAAAAGACAGGCTTGCAGCTGTAGGCATTTCTCAGAGCACAAAATCCAAAAGCACTGACCTGTGAAACAGAAATAGTAATAACATCTGCTAGATTTCTGGGCTCTGAAATCACATTCCCTGAGAGCAAGTTTCCAAACTTATGTAAGATACCACTTCCCTTTTCAATGGATTATGCTTCTCTTTTGAAACTTTACTTAAAAGCCTGAGTGTAAAACCACATATATCTTTCTTCTCCAGGAATTAAAGTAGTAGAGCAAAGTTACAAACTGCCATGGCATTGGCATAAAAATAGATTTATCAATGTCTCTCCAAATTTGTGATATCCTAGAACGACTTGGGTTGGAAGGGACATTAAAGATCATCTATTTCCAACCACCCTGCCATGGGCAGGGACACCTTCCACTAGACCCAGCTGTTGCAAGCCCCATCCAACCTGGCCTTGAATACTTCCAGGGATGGGGCATCCACAACTTACATTAGATCACCCTCTTTCCTTACTCCCTGCTTTTCTTCCTAGGCTTTATTTACAAACCAGGTTCCTAGATATGGTCTTCTCAATCCCACCATGGGGAAATCAAGCAGTCCTGTATTCTCTGTTTTACATAGAGGATCACCAGGATTTCACACAGGCAGGAATGCTGCTGCTTGGGTTCTCTGTACTTGACAGTTTAGGGTCCTTCTTATAAATCCTCAACACTGCCACAGGTTTTGACACTATACAGTATACTCCCTAGAGGGTCAAAG